TTCTGCAAGCCACATTGGCACTGATAACTCAGTGTTTGCACCTGTCTCCCCCTTCCTAGGGTGTTTTGGAGCCTTTCCCTAATCCCTACCAGACACACCTTGAGCGCCTGTCTGTGGTGCAGACAGGGATTTCACAAGTGGGTCCCACTCAGGACATCCTGAGGGTGATGTTCCCCTTTCTGCCCTGCCACAACACCCCCCATGGTAGCAGCAGTATCATCCTGGGGTCATGCCCAGGGGCTGCAAGAGGTTTCATTTGGGAGGAGTGTTAAAAATAGGATTAAAACCATAACTGTTATGCCATCAGGGCTAACTGTTTCTCTCTCAGGGATACTGACTTGGTTTCTCAGGCATGTTGACTTACTCAGGGACAGAATCATAGTATGAACCAGGTTGGAAAAGACCTCCAAGATCATCAAGACCAACCCTATTGTGATTACCAGACCATGGCACTAAGTGCCACATCCAGTCTCAGCTTGAAAACCTCCAGGGATGGTGAATCCACCACATCCCTGGGCAGCACATTCCAATGCCTGAGCACTCTCTCCCTAAAAAGTCTCTTCCTAATATCCAACCTAACCCACCGCTGGCAGAGCTTGAGTCTGTGTTGACTTTCTCTCTTTCCTTCTGCCTCTGTTTCAGATGACCTAAAGGAATTTTTCTTTGCCCTGGCATCAGAAGTCAGGAAAACCATCCTGGGTCCCCTGTCCCCCAAGTGCAGTTTGCTGGCCAGCATCAAGGCTGTGCTGCAGCGGATGCTGCCGGACGACTCGTACCAACTGGCGTCAGGGAGGCTGCACATCTCCCTCACACGGGTGGTGGATGGCCAGAATGTCATGGCCTCAGAGTTCAGCTCCAAAGAGGAGCTCATCCAGGTATGGAGACCTCCCTCTGCTGCCATAGGAACGTCTCTGATTACTCCTTGGCATGGAGATACCTTTGTGTTGGTGACTTTAACTGTGCTGTTTTCTACCCAAGATGGGGAGAGTGTCAGGAGGCTCTGCCAGAGCAATGGTCACACCACAATGAGCTCCATGGGGCTTGGAGGGAGGGAGGAAGGTGTTAGGTCCAGAATCAGACAGGAACAAACCGTGCTAGAAAAGCAGTGGGTTTGTTTCCAGCCTCATAAAGCTGATGCTGACACATGGGTCAACTTTAATAAGTGTTGATTACTCTTTGCAAAGAGCTCTATTAATGTTGATGTGACCTCTCAGCTCTCTGGACAAGTTTCACCTCAGCCAAGTCCCACTGGCAGTGACTTTCCTCATTGCCTCAGCACTTTCCTGCGAGGAAAGAGCAGGACAAAGCTACTGCCAGACAACAAGCAGATGATCAACCAGTAAATTATCTGCTGGGGGAAGAATCCCAAGATAAAGCCCTAACAGAGCCGACCATGAGGTTCTGGGCTTGCCTGTCCTGGGGAGGGTGAGGATGTAGAGGATGTAAACTCCATGGAGATGTGGAGTTCATCCCATGGTGCCTGCTCCAGGCATCCCAGGAGCCTGGAACGCTCATTCCCAGCTGATGAGACTGGTGGGGAATGGTTGCAAACTCCCCAGCAGTGGCTTTGCCACTGACAAACCCCAGCAGGATAAGAATTCCTTGTGAGGGTGTCTTGGTTTTGTCCAAAACCCCCTAAAGATGTAGAATGGCCCCAAAGCTTCACTTTGCTACCATCAAAGGGCAGAGCTGGGCAGGGAGATGTAGATGTACCACTCTTAATTCTGGCAGCTCTGAGCTCTGCTCAAGTGAAATGTTGCAGCTTTAATGAAAAGAGATGTTTTCTCCTTTTGAAACTTTTCTCCCTGACACAGTGCATGTGGCACTGACAGTTTGGCTCCAGACTTTGTCTAGGCTGAATTTTCAGGCACAGCTTTTGTCCAGGAGAGCTTTGCCAGGAACACTGACTTCTGCAATCCCTCTCCTCCCCCAGGCTCTCCTCTGCAGCTGCTTTCTTCCCATTTACTGTGGATTCATCCCTCCATCCTACCGAGGAGTGGTGAGTGATACTTCCAACAATACACACTCTCAGAGGTTTGTCCTTGGGTTTGACCTTCACAGACCCTTAAGCAGGGTTTTTCTTTAGCTAATGGAGGATGATGAAGCCTTTTAACTTGCTCTTCATCCCACCCTGAGTTGATAGCTGGGTGCAACTGCCATGTGGAGATCCCTCTCCTGCTGTGCCCATGGACAGGGTATGGATGACTAGATCTTGCCTTGCAGATCTCCAACACCAACATATGGGACTTGGAGCCACAATCCAGTTAGCCCAGGCAGGGTCTGTGTGCAGTGCAGGTTTCTCCCTGAGCTCAGGTGCAGACTTGCAGGGCTGAGATCTGGAAAGCTCGTGGGAGGATCCTCCCCCAGCACTGTGCATGTTCTTGCACTGATACATCCCTCAAGTCAACAAGTTTGGGCTGGTTTGTTGCTGAGTGAAGGAGGGGCACAGTGTGTTTTCCAGTGCTTTTGCTTCCAGGGATGGAGCAGCCACAGCTGCTCTGGGAAATCCATCCCAGTCCCTCAGCACCTCACAGGGAGGAATTCCTTCCCAATATCCCACCTATCCCTGCCCTCTGGCAGTGGGAAGCCATTCCCTGTGTCCTGTCCCTCCATCCCTTGTCCCAAGTCCCTCTGCAGCTCTCTTGGAGCCCCTTTAGGCACTGGAAGGGGCTCTCAGGTCTCCCTGGAGCTTCTCTTCTCCAGGCTGGACACCCCCAGCTCTCCCAGCCTGGCTCCAGTGCAAAGAGGCTCCAGGATCCTGGAATGGTTTGGGACAGAAGGGACATTCAAGCCCACCCAGTTCCACCCCCTTCCATGGGCAGGAACACCTTCCACTAGCCCAGGTTGCTCCATGCCCTGTCCAACCTGTCCTGGAACATTCCCAGGCATGGAGCAGCCACAGCTGCCCTGGGAAATCCATCCTAGTGCCTCACCACCCTCACAGGGAGGAATTCCTTCCCAATATCCCACCTATCCCTGCCCTCTGGCAGTGGGAAGCCATTCCCTGTGTCCTGCAACTCCCTCCCTTGTCCCAAGTCCCTCTGCAGCTCTCTTGGAGCCTTTTTAGGCACTGGAAAGGGCTCTAAGATCTCCATCCCTGTCAGTGTCCAAGGCTGGGTTGGATGTGGCTTGGAGTAGCCTGGGCTGATGGAAGTTGTCCTGACCCATGGCAGGGGGTGGGATGAGATGAGCCTAAATTCCCTTCCAACCCAACCCATTCCATGGGGCTGTGATTGCTCTGTGAGGCCTCTGCACTGTTACTTCACGACCATTTAATCTGATCAGCTGCAACCTCAAACCCCACCAAGGTGGGTGGTACATTCCTATTCCCTTTGGAATACAGCAGATGACATTTTCCTTGCCCACTGACTAATCCTCCAGGGATCTGCTGGCAATTATTCTGTATGGGAGCCTTACTGCTCCAGCTCAGGCCTTGAAAGTTATCAAACACTGTACATTCAGTGATGGTTAACGAGCAATTGGCTAATTGGCTAATGACTGCCCAAGGTTTTTTACAAAGCTTTGTGCATTAAAATAACTATATTGCCATTTTAGCAACTGCTGTGGATTACAGCATCTGTGTGAGGAGGTGTCAGGGGATAGGAGGAGCTGGCAAAGCCTGGCATGGGTGGGAAGAGATGCTGTTGATAGTGGGAAGAGAGGACCAGCTGAGACAGGAGATGTCACCTGGCTCTCATCTCAGTGACACTGCAGCAATCCTCAGAACAAACCCTCCCTCTGCTCTTGCCCCCAGAGATATGTTGACGGAGGATTCACAGGGCTGCAGCCTGTTTCCAGCCTGGAGGAACCTGTGATCACAGTGTCCCCGTTCACGGGAGAGCTCGACATCTGCCCCCGGGACTGTCCTGCTATCTTCTTCTGCTTCCAGATCTTCAATGGCAGCATCCAGATCTCCATTGAGAACCTCTGCAGGATCAGCTATGCTCTCTTTCCACCCAGCACCATGGTAAGCCCATCAGGATATCCAAACCCAGGTTGGATAAAGCCTTGAGCAACCTGGTCTAGTAGGGAGGTGTCTGCCCAGGGCAGGGGCTTGGCACTGGATGATCTCTAAGGTCCATTACAACTCCTAAAATTCTATGATTCTATGGTATCATAGTGTGTTAAGGGGTTGGAATGAACATCAGAGATCATCCAGTGCCAATCCCCTGCCCTGGGCAGGGACATCTCCCACCAGAGCAGTTGCTCAAGGCTTCATCCAACCTGGAATGAACATTATCGGGGTTGGGGCATCCAAAACCTCTCTGGGCAACCTGTGCCAGTGTCTCACTACCCTCACAGGAAATGCTTCTTCCTAATACCTAATCTAAATTTCCCTCTTTCAATTTCTCCCCATTATTCCTTGTCCTATCACTGCAGTTCCTAACCGAGAGTCCCTCTGCAGCTTCCTTGTAGGTCCCTTCAGACACTGGAAAGTTGCTCTGAGGTCTCCACACAACCTTCTCCCAGCTTTGGCTTGTTTAAAACAAATGATTGCTGCCCCTGCCTTCCCAAGCTTCAAGGTTCAATCAACCTCCATCACTAATGAATCAGACTTCAAAGGGAGGAGGCAGCACCCACTGGATTTGCAGTACATTTTGGGAGGAACACTGCTGATGGGTGGCCAACCTGGGATGGGATTCACAACCTGCAAAGGACCAGATGGAACTAGATGATCTTTAAGGTCATTTCCAACCCAAACCATTCTGTGGTGCTATGACCAGTGTGTTGGTGGTTGGAAACCAACTTGTGCTTGCTGCTTCCCAAATGGACAATCCCAACTCTCAAAGGTCAACCAGCTTTGGATAGATCCTGCAGTGCCTGGATGGAGGCTCTTTAGTGACCTCAAGTGTTTCTCTTGCAGGTCCTGAATGACATTTTCTCCCAGGGGTACCAGGACACTGCCCTTTTCCTCTACAGGAACAGTAAGTGTCATTTCCAAGACCCAGTGGGCATCCTCGAGGTGTGACATACACACACAAACATCATCCCTTTCCTTCCATGTCTCACAGATGCCTTTGGCTTCAACTACTTCGATGGCAATTTCCGCTTCGGCAGCACATGTGGCAAGAATGACTCCACACAGTCCAATGGGACATTCCCTGGCCTCTACAAGAGGGTTCCTCAGTACCTGAGTCCTTACTTCCTGCCAGGTAGAGGATTTGGAGTCTTCAGGAGTAGCAGTATTATGTTCAAGACATTAGTGAGTTATTTAAGACATTGGAATGGATTCTCCCCAAGGAGATGTTGGAATCACCACCCATGGAAGTGTCTAAGGACACGCTGGATGTGACACTTAGTGCCATGGGGGTGTTATGTCATAGGTTGGACTTGAAGATCTCAGAGGTCTTTTCCAACCTCAATGATTCTAGTAAATATTCCCAATCTGCAGTTGCTGCTTGTAAAGAGGTTTGTAAGAGCGCCTCGAGCTGAACTCTGACCTGGGCTTCAGTACCACAGGCTGAGCTGTGGCTGGGAAAGAGCAATTATTGCACTTATTTACTTCTAATTACTGATCTGTATTTCCCTCTGTGTTGTCATTCCCGGGCACAGGCTTGTGGAAGAAGGAGCAGGTGACTGGACTGCAGGATCCACTGGCAAAGGTCCTGTTGCAGCCGTACAGGCTGCCAGCTTTATTCAGGAAGGGGTAAGAACATCCTGAGGGTGACACAGCAACCAGGGGCTGTGCCTTCAGCAGTGTCAAAACAGCTGAAGGACTATGTGAAGGGATTTGGGGCTCCCTGAGGGTAAGCTCTCAGGCTGGAGGGAACACCATGGGATCACTTGGTTATGGCAAAGATGATCACAGTGTGAATTTTCCATGAACACCTTCCCCTTTTGCTGCCTGAACCCGTTGTTAAGCTCAGCCTGTTGCCTCTGCTTTGGCAGGGTGAAGAAGGTGTGGGGGCTGCTGGAAGGGATCAGCTCCCTGGCACAACGATTCCACAAGCTCCTCCAAACCTTGGTGCCTGGTTTGCCTAAGAGAGCCGTGGACAGGAGGTGAGGTGAGATGCCTCAGTGGTGGGAGAGCAGGGAAACCCTGGGAAACCTCACCCATGGGTCACTGGTGCTGGGCATGGCTAAAAACTCCAAATCTGGGGTGAAAAATGTTAAAAGTACTTATTTTTTTCCCCTTTTGACACTATTTATTCCTTTATATCTCAGAGGATATGAATATACCTCCAAGGAGCTATGAACCAGCTTAGTGTTGCTTTCCTACTGCAATATATTCATGTTCCAGAGTATTTTTGTGCTGGGCTCTGTCCTGGCAGGACATCATGCACATTCACCAAGATCCTGAGACATTCTGGCACTAAACTCTCCAGGATTTAAGGCATTTACTTTGTCACACTGACAGCTTTTAAGCCAGACCTGCCCCAAACCTGCCTGCAAGTTACTTCACGTGCAGCTGGCAAAGAGACTTGCAGAGAATGATTCACCCTGCACAGCCACACAACTCTCAGCTATGAGAAAGCTCTTGGGTGTCAAACATCCCTGGGGCTGCTCATCCCTGTTGGTGCATGACCCCAACTCAACTAACTGCTGTAATTTTGGTCTTGGGGATCAGCTGGGTCACCTCCTCGCCAATGCCACCTGTCAGGTTCCACACGTAGCAGTTTCCCTGTGGAGAGACAGCAGGATCTATGTCCAGGCTGGTGGGTGCTCACCCAAAACCAGCCTGGATTTCCCCATCCCCATTAACAGTGTGGCAGCAGGACTAGGGCAGTGCTCATCCCTCTGGACTGGGCACTGGGGAGGTCACAGCTCAGTGCTGGGGTCAGGTTTGGGCACTCACTGCAAAAAGGACATTGAGGCACTGGAGAGAGTCCAGAGAAGGGCAACGAGGGCAGAAAAGGTGTAGAACACATGTCCTACAAAGCTCATGAAAGGTCTAGAACACCTGAGGAAGGGGTGAGGGAGTTGGGTTTGTTCAGCCTTGAGAAGAGGCTCAGGGGTGACCTCATGGCTCTCAACAACTCCGTGACAGGGGTTGGAGAGAGGTGGGGGATGTCTCTCCTGCCATGGCTGCAGGGAGAGGAATAGAGGGAATAGCCTTGAGCTAAGACAGGACAGAGGCAGAGATGTTAGGAGGAATGTTTTCCCTGTTAAAGTGTTCAGGCACTGGAATATTGTCCAGGGAGATGGTGGAGTCACCATCCCTGGAGGTGTTGAAGAGGAGTTTGGATCTGGTAGATATGGTTTAGGGTTTAGGGGTTATACCAGTGACAGGTTAATGGTTGGATTTGATGATCTTAGAGGTCTTCTCCAAACTTGATGATTCATAGCAGCCTGCCAGGATCTGAAGGGGCTCTAGGGAATCATAGAAGCTGCAGAGGGACTCTTGGTTAGGAGCTGCAGTGACAGGACAAGGGGTAATGGGTACAAATTGAAAGGGGAAATTTAGGTTAGATATTAGGAAGAAGTTTTCCCTGTGAGGGTGCTGAGACACTGGCACAAGTTGCCCAGGGAGGCTGTGGCTGCCCCAACCCTGACAATGTCTATTCCAGGCTCGATGAAGCCCTGAGCAACCTGCTCTGGTGGGAGGTGTCCCTGCCCAGGGCAGGGAGCTGGGACTGAATGATCTGTAAAGTCCATTCCAACCACAAAAATTCCATGACTCTCTGAACTACACCTTGTCCTCACAGGTAACTGTCTTGGATGTGCCCTGGGGGGTCTCGGACGCTGCAGAATGGGCAACACCAGAGGTCATTCCCACACCAGCACAGCTGATTTTGTATGGAATCCTTTGGGAGTGGTTTCATTTCACTTGGGAGCCAGGTGATTCTGCTTCCAGTGCCCCTGTCCAGGCCTGAGCCGCTGTGCCATGACGGCCAAGGAACAGCTCTGCAGTGCAGCACTGTGACCACCGCGGGCTGCAGGGGCCACTGTGCAGCCTCTGCTGCAGCTGCCACAGCTTTCCCTCCCCACTGCACCTCCTGACCGCAGCAGCATCCCTCCCCCTGCTTCCACGCAGCTTACAGGGCCAGGAAACGTCCCATTTGAAGAGTTTTCCTCCCACTCTCTTCAGAGAGATTGAGCAGAGAGAGGGGAGAAGCCTAAGGGAGCATCACACTGGGAGTTAATTTCTGTCCAGTTGCCTGAAGTGATTTTACCCATTACCTATTCTTGAGCTTCATACATCCCTATATCCATGCTCCTCCTGCCTGCAGAGGATGCCTTTGGATTCCCTCGGAATGTGCAGCTGTGGATGGAGAAACCTTAAGATAAGCTCCCCCTGCTCAGGGTCCCACAGCCCTGCTCAGTGCATCTCCTGCTATTTCCCCAATAAATCACTTATTTTCATGCCATGATCTCTAACTCCCTGCCACACACCGTGTGTGGCCCAGGCAAACACACCTTGTGTCAATGGTCTGTACACAGAATTAATAAGCAGCACTCTTAATTACCCCAAATCCATGGTGCTCAGCAGAGGTTTATGGATTGGCTTTGCCCCAGCTGAGTTTACCCTGTTTGTTTGTTCCCAATGGGCACCAAATGGATCCCAACAGCACAAGCTGTTTACTGGGATAAATAGCTTGTTTAATTGCACAAAGGGAAATGGAAGAGAGAGAAGTTTCATCCCAAAGGGCCCTGGAGACTGCAGGGATGAGTGTGGGGAGTAGCTGAAAACTGCTTTGATGTAAACAGACTCCAAGTTAACTATGAATGCTCTGGGAAGGATTAACACACCATGTTCTGCTGCCTCTGGTTGCAGTCAGTGAGCTGGGAGTATTTTCTATGGAATCAGCATGCTAAAAGAAACCTGGATGCTTATTTCATAGGACCATGGGGTGGTTTGGGTTGGAGGGACCTTCAAGATCATCCAGTCCCACCTCCTGCCATGGGCAGAGACACCTCCCACCAGCCCAGGTTGCTCTAAGCTCCATCCAACCTGGCCTGGAACACTCCCAGGGATGGAGCAGCCACAGCTGCTCTGGGCAACCTGTGCCAGTGTCTCAGCACCTCACAGGGAAGAATTCCTTCCCTGTATCACTTCTGCAACAGCTCTCCAGGGTTCTGATCTTCCTAGCAAGCATCACCATCACCTCCAGGCAGGATATTACCCCTTCAGTCAGCCTCAGGCAGTTACACTATTCTCATGGGAATTAAAAGCCCCAAAAGAAAATTCACCAATAGCAATTGGACATCCAAATCCACTAAATGTGTCTGCAAACCTCAGCCACAAACAACAGCAGTTTGAACTGCCCAGTGGATCCCTCCTGCCCCTACATGGCATGGTGCTTGGTCATAAAAACTTAGTAACACCTGGAGAACTTGAACAAAAAACAACCTACAAGGAACACCTGAACCAAAACGGTCCCAGCACAGAGCCCTCCTGCTCCAAACCTAGTATTTATCAACTCAGCATCCAAATCAGCTGGTTTTGCTTTATTAATTCTCATCTTCCAAGCAAGCACAGCTGGTTCTGTCTTGTCTGCATGAGCTTGGAGCTAGTGACAACAGGAGGCTCTGCCAGGGGCAGTGGATAGAGGCAAAGTTTGGCATCACTTGGAATCACCTTGCAGGAGCTTGTTTCATCCCAAAGAAACTCAGCTGTACCCAGGTCAAACCAGCTGAGACAGATCCTGTCTGAAATAACTCCTGTAAAGGTGTGTCATGGGAATCACCTGGGGCAGGGATAGAAGGGATTGTGGCCTTGCCTGTGCTGGTGCCACTGGTGCCACAGTTGGTTGTTCTTCAGTGCAGCTCAGGCTCTGCCTCCAGGTTGGGTTGTAAGTTGCTCACTCTCTCTTTGAAACAAACTGGGGCCAAAGGCAGCAGCAGAGCCCAAAATGCTCTTCTGTGACCCTGTAGGGAGTTAAACCACATAGGTCAGTCTGACAGGCAGTTCCTGAGAGACAAACTCGTTCCAGTGCTTACTCAGAGCTGCTTCTCTCCCTCTTGGTGGCTAAAGGGCAACAGCATAAGCATGTCCTGATGTCCTTCAAATATTTCCCTCACACCACTGTCCTGTTGTTTGCTCCACTCTGCATTGAGCTAAAGGAAACATGAAGCCTGAGGTGGATGGGATGAGTTTGGAGACAACCCAAATCACCAGGAATTCTCTCTGAAAGTGGATCCCACTGGTGCAGAGGGAAGAAGAGTCCTGGGGCCTGATCCATGCAACTGAGCCCAACAGAACCAAGCAGTGCCCAATCCAAGCACCTGCCCAATCCTGCCTGGGGCTCTGCCTGCTGCTCATGCAACTTGTTCACAAGTTTATCCCCTGCTGATTTGCTAACATCAATGATATGACTGTATTGTGCAGATAAACAACAACACAGTCTTTCCCTGGCCTAGCTCACAAGGACTTTCTCTTCCCAGAGCTGGAATATCTGATGTTTCTCCTCAGGACACTGAGAGCTCTAATTTACCTCTTGGTTGCTCTCTGGGCTAACAAATGAGTCTTGATTCGTCCCACAGGTGACCTGAGGGGGTGGAAAATGTTAACCAGAGCCTGAGCAACCTCCAAAGAAACCTCATCCCTATGTTGCTTCCCAAAGCTCTGAGCAGCTCAGGCTGATGGAGCCTTTAACAAGGCAACCATGGAAGCAAACTTCAGCCTAATCCTGTCCTGCATGTTTTAGAGGGTCTCTTCCTATAGAGAGTTGGTTTGTTTTCAATGGAAATATCTTCCTTGCTTTCATTTTATGTTTTTTAAGCTTTTATTTTTAGATCTGGAATGAGAATTGTCCTATTCTTTCCCCTTCACATTCCTCATTTGGTGTGAGCCTCCTACATAGAGCAGAAAGATATTTGGGTCTTTTTTTCACTTTTTATTGAATTTCTGAGGAAAGAATTTCCATAATCATCATGTTGGATGAGCGGTGTCTTTTTTCCCCCTAAGCTGATAATTCTGGAATGTTGAAAGCCTCAGGAAGAAAAGGGAAAATAAATACTAAAATTGAAAGAAATGTTGCATTCAGCAGATTCTTCTTTGGATTCCTCTAGTAACAATGAGACAAACTGGAAATTGAACCAGTTTTCCATTCAAAACCAAAATGGGAAAGGAAATTACTTTGCATAGGATTGCAGGAAACTACAAATTTGGGGTTTAAACCTGATTTATGTTGCTTAAAATGACACAGGTAGAGGTTTAGTTGCAGCTCTAATATTTATCTAAGCATTTATCTGGCTGCTCCCAGAGCTCCTAAGGAAACACGGGGATTTGCCTGGCACAGCAAGGGCAGCTCT